ACTACACAGATCAGACTCGTAGTGATCCTCCTGTTTTCAGCCTCCCCAATGCTGACTTACAGGCACATACCACCATGCCCAGTCTGTTTTGCTGTCTCAGCATGCCCCAGGGGCACACCGGGGATTGAACCCCGGTCTGGCCAGCTCCACAGGCATCTTAGTAATTTTGAGAATTACTGGTATTTTTAGTATAACTTTGTGGCCTCCGAAGATGGAGGTAGTATGTATCATTTAGGATAACTTCCTATCAGGGGGAATCACAGTAGCTCATTCGGACTCTGCACCCTAAAGAGATTCTCCAGCAGGAGGAGATAGCAGGGTGGCCCTGGAAGGGCGGGGGTGACTGGTGTAGGACTGCGCCCCAAGTCAGTGCCTGTGGCCTTGCTCATCCACACGGCCTCTGCGTGCCTGGCTGGGTGCTCTCTGCCCTGGGCTCCATCTGGCTGGCCTCATGCAGGGGTGGGGGGTGTCCCTGCCTGCTGGGCCCCTTCTAGCTCTCTGCCTTCCCAGGTGCCGTGGCTGTGGGCCGCCTGGAGCGGGTGTCCTTGATCTTGGTGTGGGACCTGTCTGATGCCCCATCGCTGTCCCGTGCCCAGGGGCTGGTGAGCCCGGTGGTGGCGTGTGGGCCCCACGGAGCCTCCTTCCTGCAGCCCTGCACCCTCACGTTCAAGCACTGTGCCCAGCAGCCGGGCCACGTACGCACCTACAGCAGCGACACACCTCTGCTGGATGCCAAGGCGTGGCGGCCCCTGGGCCAGCCTGGGGCCCACACCTCGCTGGATGAGTGCCGCCTCCAGCTTTCCCACTTTAGGTTCGTGCGCACCCAGCAGCCAGCCCCTCCCCCAAGTCTCTATCACTGCCCGTCCTTGTCTCGCACAGAGCAGTTTGCCCAGGATGGCCCACAAGTCCCTGGTCCCCCTGTGTCTTTCTCTGTGTCCTCTGTCCCAATGCCTATGGCAGCTTTTTCCATCCTAACCCTGCCTGGGGCTGTGTACCCCTCTGCCAACCATCTCCTCATCTTCTTTGTTTCTCCTGATGGACAATTATTTTTTGGGCCGGGATTGGCACTCAGGACCTTGCACTTGCCAGGCGGGTGCTGTGTCACTGAGCTGTGTTCCTGCCCTGCCAGACAGTCCTTGCTAGCTCTCCTCTCTGCTGGTGGTAGCCACCATGACGGCCCCTTGTCTACTCTGTAGCTGCCCACCACTCTCTAGAACCCCAAGTCCCCCTAGAGTGCTATTGTCTCCTTGGAGGCCGGGACGTAGCCTCTGTACTCATGGCTGCTGGGAGATGATGATAAGGTCTTGGGGTCTCTGCCGTTTCCCCGCAGCCTCTATACCTGTGTGCTGGAGGCGCCGGTGGGCCAGGCTGCCCGCAAGTGGCTGCAGCTGGCTGTGTTCTGCTCCCCGCTGGTCCCCGGACAGACCCACCTGCAGCTGCGCGTCTACTTCCTCAACAACACGCCCTGTGCCCTACAGTGGGCTGTGACAAATGAGCAGCCCCACGGGGGGCGCCTGCGAGGGCCCTGCCAGCTCTTTGACTTCACGGGGGCTAGAGGCGACCAGTGCCTGAAGCTCAAGTACATCTCTGAGGGTGAGGGGCGCGGCCTGGGCACAGGGAGTAGGGGCCTCCCCTGTGCTGCATGCAGACCAAGAGCCACAATCTTCTCTTCTGGACTCAGCTGGAGCAGCCTGAGGGACCGCACTGGCTTCTGCCCCCTGTAACCCAGATCCTCCTGCTCCCCATGCCACCCACCCAAGCCCTTGCCATCTGTCAGGATGTGGTGATGAGGAGAGGAGGGGGGCTGCAGGCGGCAGCAGCGGGGAGGGAGGCTGGATGGGGAGGCCGCCCTAGCTTTCCTGCTTGGCCTCTCCTTCCTGTGGCCGGGGCTGGTGGCATTGCCCACAGGCACATGTGTGGGTATGGCTGTAGATGGGGCACACAGGCCACGGCTGCTTCCAGGCGAGGAGTGCGGGCGGGAGGTTGCAGGGGTGGGGAAGGGCTGTGTATAGTGTGCAGAGAGGGGTGGCTCCCACTCACTCCAGACCCTCCTGCCTCTGCCGGTTCTAGTGCCTCTCAGCACCCCTCTGCCCTGCCTCTGTCCCTGCCCCAGGTTGGGAGAACGTGGATGACAGCAGCTGCCAGCTGGTTCCCCATCTACATATCTGGCATGGGAAGTGCCCCTTCCGCTCCTTCTGCTTCCGGAGAAAAGCAGGTAGCTCAGGAGCCTGGCAACCCCCTGCTGCCTACCCTGTCATCCGAGCGCTCTGTGTCCCACCCCAAGGAGGGCGCAGTGTCCCGGCCCTGTCTTTCTGAGTGCCCTTTGACGCCTGTGCCCTTACCAAGTCTTTCCCTCTCCCGCCGACTCTTGCAGCCAATGAGAGCGAGGACTGCTCGACACTGGCCAGTGAGATCATTGTCACCATGCACACCTTCCAGGACGTGAGCTGTTGCTGAGGGGCGAGGAAAGGGTGGGGCCCATGGGAGTCCTGGGCAGGGGTGTGGTACCCCTGTGACAACAGTCCCAGCCACATAACCAAGTAGGGAAGGCGACACCTGCATGGCAGCCTTCCTGGCTTGTTGTGGGGTCAGGCCCCGGGATTCCAAGTTGCCCATCATGGCTGACTCTTGTCTATAAGTGGGTGACCCCAGTAGGAGGCTGAAGGATCACAGCTTAGATTAGGCCCTCTTTCTCCCAGCTCGGGGATGGGGGAGGGGGCAGGAGACATGGGTTCTTCCCAGGTGGAACTCTCCATGGGATGCCTCAGGGGAAGATGGGAAGGAATCTGGGAAAGTCTCTGGGGACTACAGGGGTATCTTGATGGAAAATGGCAGACACTCTCCCACTACTGTGTGACAGGAAAGCTGGAGTGGAGGGAAGGGGGCACAGAGAGCTGAGTGCTGTATCTCTGTTGCTGGGGGACCTCCCAGCACCCCATGACTTCCTCCAGGACTTCTGGGAGCCTAGGACATACACTCATTCTCTAGTTCTCAACGTGGGCAGACTTGGGACAGAACATGGGGGCCTGGGGTCAGGGAAGATGGGGGAGAGGGGTGAGGTGGTAGCTGCTGCTAAAGTGGCTTGGGATGACAGGCTGAAAGGGAGACAGGCATGGAGTTCGGGCCCTGGCTTCTTACTTAAGGGACCTCCATGTTCCCTGGCCCCTTGCTGACTCAGGGCATGGAGACCAAGTACATGGAAATCCTCAGGTTCCAGGCGTCAGAGGAGGAGTCCTGGGCGGCGCCACCCCCAGTCTTGCAGCCACCCCCATGCAACAGGTGAGGTGAGGGTGGAGCTCTTGCCCCAGGAATGCTTGGAGCTCCAGCCTCAGCACTCAAGGGGAAGTACAGCATGTGGGGTGTGTGTGTGTGTGTGTGTGTGTGTGTGTGTGTGTGTGTGTGTGTGTGAGAGAGAGAGAGAGAGAGAGAGGCACACTCAGGTCCCCCAAAACACACCCTTTCCCATCTCAGGATGCCACCAGAGCTCTTTGAGCAGCTGCGGATGTTGCTAGAGCCAAACAGCATCACAGGCAATGACTGGCGCCGGCTGGCCTCCCATCTGGGCCTTTGCGGCATGAAGATCCGGTAGGAGGGGAGATCTGTGGGTGGAGGTAGGGAGGGCATGGGTGGAAGTGGACCACAGGTAAGGGGTCGACTTGAGAGTCAGAGAGCAGCTCCTCCCATCCCATGCCTCACTGCAGGGTGGTTCTGTCTAAGAATCCCTGTGTCCTCAGGCACTAGAGCCACACCTGGCTCACAGTAGGGGCATGATGTGTACTTAACAGTGGCCTCAGCGCTGTGCAAAATCAGAGTGAGTGCTTGCCCTGTGTGGCCTACAGAGCGAAACAACAGATTACAGATATGGGGCACAAAGTATGTCTCTGGAGGGCCGGCCAGATAGCTTAGCAGATCAAAGTGCCTGTTTAAGCAGACGAAGGGACAGGGGTTTGATCCCATGGGCCTTCCTGGCCCTGCCCCTGGGGGGCTCTGAGGCTGTGATTGAGACTGGGTGTGGTGGTGCACACCTGTAATCCCAGAGCTTGGGAGGCTGAAAATAGGAGTCTGATCTGTGTAGTGAGACCCTGTAGAGCCTCTACTAAAAAAAAAAAAAAGGGTGTCTCTGAGGTTTGGTTCCAGCTCCAGGAGCCCATAGTCTATGCATGAAGGGTGCAGAGAGCTTAAAAGCCCAGGCGAGTGTTCCTTGTGCCTCCTTGTCTGTATCCAGCATTGTGTGCATGCCAGAAAGAGAGGCACGGAGGAGCAGGAGCAAGGAGAGCCCGGCTTGCCCAGAGGCTGCAGTGCAGTCTTCCCTTAAGCCAGGGATGACAAAGGCTTGAGGCAAGGCATGAAGGCTGTCTGTCCTGGGGGAGCCGCGGAGCTGCCGAGTGGGTGCAGGGAGGGATGGGGAAGGACCAGTGTGGAGGCTGGGGGGGCTGGAGGATGTTGGGGTGGGGGAGGTGCAGCGGCCAAGGACAAAGACGAAGTCCCAGAGCCAGGAGCAACTTTATGAGTGCTCTTCTCTCAGCCCTCAGGTTCCTAAAGGAAACAGTCTAGAGGTGCGGGCCCAGGGCTTGAGACTCCAAGTTAGGGCAGTGTCTGGTTTCAAGGTGGGAGCATCTTTGGAAGGGTGGCGTCACGCACCGAGCCTGGAGCAGGGGAACCCCGCACTGCCAGCCCCTCCATCTGTCTCCGCCCAGGTTCCTGTCGTGCCAGCGCAGCCCTGCGGCGGCCATCCTGGAGCTCTTCGAGGAGCAGAACGGCAGCCTGCAGGAGCTGCACAGCCTCATGACCTCCATGGAAAGGTTGGACTGCGCCTCGGTCATCCAGAGCTACCTGAACAAAACGCCCTGCAGCAGCCCGGCCGTGGTCCACAGTCGCGTCTGGGAGAACCAGGCCCTAGAGCTAGATGAGAAGCTCTGAGCGCCCTCCAGGGTGGACGACTGGGAAAAGTGCTGCAGCAGATCCTGCTGACCATCCCGTGCCCCCTGCGAACCACCTCCGTCAAGACCCTCTGGTCCTGCATGCAGGTTCTCTCCTGGCCGGCAGAGGGCGCAGGAGCACAGGAGATGACCGCACCCTGACCAGCTTCCGGGCCGCTCTTTGTAGACACGGGGCTTCCAGGTGGCCCCTTGGCACTCCTGGGCAACTGTCTGGTCGCCAAGAATTTACTGAGCACTTAGTACGTCCTAACACTCCAGGGGGATGCTGGAGTGAGTGTTCGAGGTGAGGCCTGGAGCCCGGAGGAACCTCGGCCTTCTTTGGCCAGCCGAGGGGCTCAGCCTAGCGCTCAGCGCAGACTTGGAGACAGCAAGGTCCTGAGCCGTGCTCTGCTGGAGGAGGAGGAGGGGGGAAGGGAGAGAGCCGCGTACGGGCTGGAGCAAAGAGAGCGCCCTAGGTAGGACGTGGGCGGCCCCCAGAGGTGCACAGGAGGAGCGCAGCCCCAGGGCCAGAGGGAGGGCCAGCCTGAACGCGGACCGCTGGCTGGTGAGCCCTGCCGCCCAGCGGCTCCTCCGCCTGCCCGGGTCTCTTGGGGCTCTGGCCTTCCGCTCTCGGCCACCGTTTCTATCATAAGCATTCATGCTGAGCAGAAATCTCAGGATCAACCTTTATATCCCTTCGGATGCAACTGTATGGCTCTTAAGCCTCTGGTTTCATTTTTCTGCCTCTTGTCCCCACGCCATCTGCATCCAGCCCCGAATCCGAATGTCCTGCTAGCCGTAGCCGGAGCATCTTTTTGTCTCTACCTTGTTGACTGCGTCCTGTCTTTGCGCGTTACTTTCTCTATCTGAAATCCTCAGTCGCTGCCCCCCCCCCCAGGCAAGGGTCTCCGAACCTTGTGATACATCAAGATCTCTTGCGAGAGCCCGAGTATCCTCACAGTGACTGAACCGGGAGCAAGATCCATCTGAGGCCAAGAAATAAAGGAAAAGGGCAGATAAATAATAACAAAAGCTACCGTGTGGAAGACACTGCGTTCAGAAAATGGGCACAGCAAAGAGAACAAAGAGTCGCTCTGAGGTCTAGCCGGGCTGCTTCTGCTTGCTGACAGTTAGCCTTAATTTGTTCTGGTAGCACTAAGAGTTTGCCTTTATATTTAATGAAATATGAATGCTTTTTTATGAGGAACAATATTGTATAGTAAAATATGAAAATTGCCTTTCTTTGTTACTTTGTTGTGCTCAGATTGGTGGATTTGAATGTGGGTATGATTGGTTTTATGTGGGAGAATTATTCCCGCGGGGATGGATCAGAGGTGGTATTTCCAAGATGAAAATTGTCCAGGGTGGGAAATCGGGCAGGTTATTTTCTCCATCTCCGAGGAGCGAGCCTTCAGAGTCGGGCCCTTTGGCCCCGTTCCTCTTTCTCTGGCCTCACTCATTTCTCCCGCCTTCCTCTTGCTCCCCCTACCCCACCGAGGCTGCTGATTACCCCAGTTTGGTGCCTTCGACTTCTCCCCGGCCACTTGGCTCAGGATTGGACCATGAAGAGCACCTTGTTCCCTTCAGGCCCAGAGCTGTTTCTTCACAGTGGTTGAAGGCGTCTTTGCATTCCTTCCTACCTCGGGACGAGTCATTTTAAGGGTTTCCAGTCTGCTGTGGTTGTGAATGAAGCCGCAGGTTTCTGAGATGGAATACAGTGACTTCCAGCCCCAGCCCCATTTTCTCAGCTTGGGTTTCCAGGGTTGGCAAAGGGGTGGGCCTGGGAATCTTGGGGTAGGTGCTGGTGGTGTGAGTCCTGGGCGGGAGGGGGCCTTGGGTTTCTCAAAGCAAACCCAGTGGGCATGTGGACTGGGCGTGCTGCAGCGGGCATCAAGAGACTGTGTGTTTAGGGCTGGTTGGAAGAGCCCTCCCCCTTCTGGGGTTCAGTCTCTTCCCCCTTAATAAAGTGACCATGTGAGAGGGTTGGCAAGGGTCTCTTCAAGCCCACAGGTGGCATACTGATGACCAAGGGACAGGCACTTGGGGTTTTCCTCTGTGCATTGTCTTTGGCTAGAACAATCGATCACCTCTGCGGCCTCACTGCTAGTCCTTCCCTGATAGGTTCTCTACCTGACCCCCCTAATCCATGAGTTTTGCTTTTATGCATGCATAGAGCCATGTCTAGGCTGTCACCTGCAGGGTTTAGAGTCTGGGGTAGAGAGGAGGAGTGGGTAGGGGAGTCCTAGTCTCTAGAGATAGGACACGAATGTCTCCCACGTCCCTCTGACTGCGCAGGGATGTTCACACCAATACCCAGATCTGCACTGTCCTACAGAAATACAAGAAACCACATATGTCACTTTACATTTTCTAGTAGTCACTTTAAAAAATGTGAAGAGGAACAGGTGACATCCATTTGAATAATATATTTTGTTTAACCGAATTCGCCCAGAATATTATCACTTCCACATATAATCATTAGAAAATTAATGCCAGATTTTAAATTATTTTCCATAATAAGCATCTGCATCTGGCACCTACTTGGCAATCACGGCACATCTCAGTCTGTGTGTGGTTACGGGTTGGATCTGAACTGCTCTCCAGGGCCAGGCTTCGGCTCCCAGCGTGCAGCGCTCCTGGAGGCAGTGGGAAGGGATCAGGTGCCCATGAGGCGGGCGTTGAGACCCTGGTCCTGGGTTCTTCTTTTTTTCTGCTTCCCGGCACCATGAGGTAAGCGGACCTCATCCCATCGAGATGTACAGTGTCCCAGCAGCCCCAAATGAACAGGGCTAAGCAACCTTAGGCTGACACCTCTGAGAACAAGTACCCAAATCAACCCTTCCTCTTTACAGGTTGCTTATCACGAGTATTTTGTCATAATCGTGGGAATCTGTGTTGACTTTTCATTGGAAATATTTGATGATTTGTCTTAACTTTCATAATTTTTTTTTTTTTTTGACTTTTCCAGACAAGGTCTTGCTATGTAGCCTAGGCTGGGCTTGAACTTGTGACCTGGGTCTTTTGAATGCAGGAAGTAAAGGCATGTGTTATCTTTCCTGAGGGGCTGCCAGGACATGCAGGACCAGGAGTCAAACTCTGGTGCCTGTGCTTGCCAAAGCAGGCGCTTAGTCTGCTGAGCTATCTTGCTGATTTACCCTAAAAGTTTTTTAAAAATGGAATTAGGCGTAAGTTAAGATTTCTTTCTTTCTTTCTTTCTTTCTTTCTTTCTTTCTTTCTTTCTTTCTTTCTTTTTTCCAGAAGTGGGGAACCGGGGATTGAACTCAGGCCCTTGCACTTGCCAGGGAAGTGCTTATTCTACTGAACCATCTCCCTGGCCCCTCATAAGTTAAGATTTAAAGTTAAAATTTGTTTGCTCCAATACTTTTAGTTCATTGAAATAGAGAACTCAATACCTCAGTTGTCCTAGCCACATTTCAAGGATATAGTAGCTATGAGCAGTTAGTGAGTACCAGTAATGGAGAGCAAAGTTCTGGATTATGGATCTAGTTGGGTTTAACTTTACAGTGTATTTGATCATCCATCCATCCATCTGGTCATCTATCCATCCATCTGGCCATCCATCCATCCATCCATCCATCCATCCATCCATCCATCCATCTAAAATTTGCTGAATTCTTACTCAATGCTAAGCCCTGCATAAGTTGTTGATAATGAAAATTCAGTGAAGAAGAACAGTCTTATTCTAGAACAGCTCTTGGGATGCTGCAAGTGAGAGTGAATGGCACATTCCTTTCATTATTCTTCACATCTGGCTCAGGCAAGACAGAGGAGACAAGGCCCAGGCCATCACTCTGCAGGTGTGGCTCACACTGCAGCCCAGTATGTAGGCAGAGACTTTAGAGGCAGCGGTCCGGCTTATGCGGCACACCAGGTGGGCTGCTGGCTACTGATGATAATCCATTCTGGCTGCTTGAGGCTGATCGGATTTGTTAAAAGACACTGTGACCATTTGAAGGGCTGGGAAATAGATTTGGGGTGGTTTCCAGGGACAATGCCTCCAACTCTGTCATGGTGACAGCTTAAGGAGGACACTCACATCACAGTGGCTGCCGAGTACTGGATGTCAGGAACTGGAGTTCGCTGCAGACGCACCTGCCACTGCACTGGGGCTTCTTCCGAGTCAGGAAGCGCTGCCTTTGTAGGAGGAGGCCTCTGCTGCTGTCCATGCCGGCCAGGGTGGAAGCTGTGTGCACAGCCTGAACATTCTTGCCGCTCTGAATTCAATCCCAGGTGGGACAGGAGACTGGTGGAGCCTAGATCACATCCCGAGTGCTAGCTGGGAAGACATCTACAGGAAGACAGGAATCCTGACTCCAGTCTTTGGGAGGTGGGACCATTATGTGAGGATTTCCCCAAGCCTGAAAGCTACTCGAAAGCTGAGGGAACCACAAGTATGACACATGTCCACTGCTGACAGGGTGTGGCTTTGCAAGTAGAGTGACACCATCTGCAGTTGCCTTGGGGACACCACAGACTTTCAGAAAGCCTGAGTGCATCCATCCCTGAGGATGACACTTGTGCCACCATTCCTGGCGTGGCTCTGTAAGCCACGACTAGACCATGACATTCTCAGGTGCTGGGGCCTCCATGTTGGCATCTCCTCCACGTTCATGCATCGGAATCTTCCTCCATAAGGTGATGGCCTTTGGGAGATTAAGTAGGTCAGGGGCAAAGCCCTCTTAGACAGGACCATTCCCTTTCTAAAAGGGGTCCTGGAGAGCTTCCTCCCCCTTCCCACCAGGTGAAACCACAGTCTGTGAGCCACAAGAAAGCCTGGGCACGCACCCTTTCCAAGGACACTTTGATCTTGGAGTTCCCAGCTTCCAGAAAGGCGAGGAGTGCCCTCCTGTGGTCTGCAAGCTACCCAGTCTCCGGTGTTTTTGTCACAGCAGCTCGAGCAGGCGGAGACAGTGAGGACCCAGCCCAAGCGTCCCCCAGCCCCGTGTGTCTCTTCTACTGCTGTGGCTGAAAGCACAAAATACATTTCCCAGACCTTTAGCAGATGGAGGTGTGGATGTATTTATGTTCGGCTAACCAGCAGGACTCAGGCAGGACTTTGATTTGGAAATGAATAATGTAGAGGGTTGAATAGGGCAGGAGGCTGCTGCTTATCTTGAGAGCTAGAAGCATGGCTTAGAGTGGATTCTTCCATTCCTTCCAGTGATTTGTGAACTACAAAGTCCCTGCAATATATTTTTCTTGCTTGAACTAGTCGGAGGGGGCCGATGCAGGGTGTAGTAAGTACCTCTGTCCGAAGCGCCAAAGATGCTTCCTACGGTCATACTGGCCTTTATTCTGAACACGACCCCACCCATCTCACTGGCATTGGTCTAAGATACCATGAAAGGACAGTGAGAGAGATGC